CTGAATTCTTTTTGGAGAAGGGGTCAGCATATGAATTCGACAGCTTTGTTGTAAATTTAAATGTAGGTCCCATACATAGAGATTAATAATGAATAAATGATAAATACAAGGAATGGAATTTTAAAATCATTCGCGAATATCTTTAACTCAGTAGAACAAAGAAAACCCACTGACCCACTGCGCTACTGACAGTGATTTCAATAATGCCTCATTGTGCTAGTAATAATTAGTATGTCCCTTAGGCCACTTCTTCTCCCTGCTGTATTCATACTTTCCCTAACCCTATGAGATTAGCAACATTTGCAGATTTGATCATGTTTATCACACTGTATAATCAAGCAAACAGACCTACCCAATTTTCTACAAGCAGTGCCCTGAATGTCAGCGCCGAGAACACAATGCTCTTAACTTATAACAAATCCTTACACAATTTTATAAATGTATAAGTAAAGTTGTCTCTGTATTTAATTAATTAAGCACCACTTCATGAAGACATGTAGAGGGGTGATAATGTAGCTCCACCATTCTTGACCTTTATACTAGAGGCAGGTGGGTGGTGAGAGTCAAACACTTGCAGCCTTACCCCCGGTGCCCATTGAATAGGCGGCTGGGTGGGCCCAAAAGCCGGTCTAGACGCTGTGGAATAGAGAAAATCTGTTGCCCTGCCAGGGACCGAAGCCAGGTCAACCAGTCTGCAGCTCGTCGCTATACCTACTGAGCCAACGCAGCTCATTCATTCTTCTTAACAATGCCGAATATAAAGAAAAGTAACGTGGGATTCTGTAGCGATTTTGCTATGTTGGAAGTGCATAAACTATTAATCTTAATCTGAAATATCCGTAGAAATAAGGAACACCGTTCAAGGTGGCTGTTGTTTGCCAAACTGATTAAATCCTTGACCTGTCTCACTGAAATGAACCGAAGTTACTTCTCCCTGCGCAGAATGTTAAGCAGAGGATACGACAACACGCCTCCCTTCCAATTCCAGCACAAGGTCGGGATGTGAATGAAAACAAAACTATACCGATAGTCCTAACTATTAGACATCCGGTTTATCTTTTTATATATATTTTTTTACTTAAATTTTTTTTTTTTCGTTTTTGTTCTACGATGCTTGAGCCTAATGCCATCCACCATATTGGTTGAGATGTCAAAAGATCACAGAACTATCAACATTGGCTTTGCTTGTGCGTGAGGGCCGCCCCATAGCTCAAGCGGTTAGTCGCTGGCTTCCCACCGTGGCGGCCCGGGTTAAATCCCGGGTCTGGTGAAGTGGGATTTGTGGTGGACAAAATGTCGCTGCGGCGGGTTTTCTTCGAGTACTTCGGTTTCCCTTGCCTATCTTCATTCCACCAAAATTCTCCATCATCATAATCATCCGGGGCAGTCTACAATAGGCCAATCAGTGGCCGCCGTGCCGAGTGGACCCAGCTGAACTCCACCCCCCACTTAGCGAATTTACTTGCGGCTGCTAATCACATTACGGCTTTTTTCATCCTGTCTTGAATTACAATTTTTCGACGATTAAACTGGATCATACTGCATTTTTTGACCTTGAAATTTGTCTGCACAGATAATATACAGATCTATACATAAATACAATTAAAACAAGGAATAAACTCTAATTACTTGTTTTAATAAACTCTAATAATTAGAATGATCAAGTCAAGGAGGATGAGGTGGGCAGGTCATGTAGCACGAATTTGGAGACGAGGAATGCATATAGGATGTTGGTGGGAAAGCCAGAAGGAAAGAGACCACAGGGAAGACCAAGGTGTAGGTGGGTGGACAATATTAGAATGGATCTTAGAGAAATAGGATGGGATGGTATGGATTGGATAGATCTGGTTCAGGATAGGGACCAGTGGAGGGCTCTTGTGAACACGGTAATGAACCATCGGGTTTCATAAAATGCCGTGAAATTCTTTAGTAGCTGCAGAATTGGCGGCTCCTCCAGAAGGGCTCAACTCCATGAGTAAGTAAGTAATAAACTCTAATATTATTTTTATATTCACGTATTATGTTAGAGCAAAATTCCAAAGAGATATATCCAGTGGGCGGATAACTAGCTGTGTACTCTTACAAGAAGTGACAATGAATGAATTAATGATGATGAATATAACAAACTAGAGACTTAAAAAATGTCTGTGTATATTTGCAGCCCTACTTAGCGCCAATGAAATTTGCTAAGTCCGTCCATCCTGACACATGGAAGAATTTGAGAGATGTCGGATGAATTTTCATGAAAATTCATATCGGAAAATTTAACAAAACTTGTGAACAATTTAAATCTGCATTTACATCGGACATGCTTTCGACTGCTTTACATGAAGACTTACCTACTTTTCTGTGGATACCTCGGTCAGTATTTGTCGGAGAAAGAACTGTTTGGAACAGACCTTATGCAGAAAAATGAAACGCATATTTCATGACCATCACATAATATGTTCAAGTTTTACGGCTTTTGAGATATTTAAACAAAATTGATGTTATGAATATATTTTCAAACTTTCATTCTTAACAATCGGCTATGGCCTCCAGAAAATAATAGCGGCAAAAAAAAAGAAGTAAAAGTCGTAATGAGTTTAGACTAAGTTAAAACGAAATTTGTTTTATTCTTTCAATTCTAGAGCTCTGTTTCAATATGATAGTATATATATATATATATATGATAATATATCTGTATATTTTTTAGACTATATAAGAATTGTAAACATCGAAATCTTAATGCTGATTGCTTATTCATTTAAAGATCTGTACAGTTTTGACTTCTGCCCAACTTGAATATTATCACGTATAGGGGGGGGGGGGCAAGACATATAGAAGAGTTTTGGATTGGATGATTGGATTTAATGACACGTTATTCACACAACTCTGGACTACAGGCAATACAGCTCTATTACTGATCTGCACACTTTACAGTTCACCGTTACACACGTACTATGGTTCTCAGTCTTCATTGGTCATACCCTTGAAACGGATTTATAACGGTCTCACTGTCACTTCAAATCACATATGAAAACTTCTTTTCATAGTGTAATTATTTTCTTGCCATTATTCTGCAACTGCCAATTCCGAAGACTCGACTCAGTTCAATTCCTCTGCCCCTGGCAGGCTGACTTCTTGAAACTCTGCTAACTCTTCTCAAATGAATATTCTTTATAAACACTTTGCAAGGACCACACAGAAAACACAACCTCTCTGTTGATAAGAAGGAGTGTTTATAGCGCCGTTGCATAGCAACGTAAGCTCTTCGATTGTTGCTTTCGCATTCGTTGCCTAGGGAATGTGTTTATCGAGACGTTGCTTAGCAATGAACGTTTATTCTGACTTCACTATTCCGACTTTCGGGCATCATGTCACAATATCATAATCTAACAGTGAATAGTGACATGCATATTTATTGTTTGTTAATTACAGAGGAAATATTCATGGTAGTCTTGATTATTTAATTTACACTTTCTGCTGCCGATTGCGCCTGTCAAGTGCACACTGCATAATTGTACAATCTTTTTTCGCTATAAAACTTCCCTTGGTGGACAGCATTACCACTGCTGACGCAGTACTTGACCCCAATTTTCATGATAATAAAACCTGAATTGCCGTTATGCTCTAAAAGAGAGCTTGTTGCAGATTATTGAAAAACTAACTCTGTTATCGATGTGAGTCATCAGAGGAACCAGCTAGTGGAATGCTCTTCTTACAGTTAATACGTACATATATGTTTAATGGTCTCTAACATTACGGGAGGAACGTAAGACTGAGGTTGTTTGAGAACAGGGTGCTGAGGAGAATATTTGGACCTAAGAGAGATGAAGTGAAGGGGTATTTGAGAAAACTTCATAATGAAGAGATCCTTAACTTGTACTCTTCTCCAAGTATAATTAGAATGATTAATTTCACACTTGTATGTGTCTCTAATATATAAACTTTTATTTTAAAGTGTTATTACAGTCACATTTAAATTCCCTAAAATATCATTAAAACCACGTTTTATTTACTCTAATGCAACATAAACTTTTATTTTAAAGTGTCATTATAGTCTCATTAAATTTCCTAAAATATCATTAAAACCACATTTTATTTTACTGTTGCGACGTGTTTCGGCCCTATATGACCATCCTCGGGTAACTGTTAATCAACTGAAACTACCGAACTGTATCACCTCGTGTTTCAACCTATTTACACGCTGCTACTGCACTTCGTCCTTTAAGAATGTAGTCCGCTACCTTCATATTGTGGCTTCCACTTTCTGTAATGTATAATATAAGTTTGTTAATGTAAAATGTATTATGATTCTGTGCAATTTGCTCCTTTATGTGTCTATACGTGTATGTATGTTATTGTGTAGTTCTGTTCCCTTTTGTGCATAGCTCTCCCTAGTTGGGCGTATCTTCTTTGTATTGATTCGTTTTATGTATTTGTTCTCGCTTTTATATCATTTTTGGTGGTGCGCGTGTGTCGCTATCTGTCATAAAGTTCGTGTATTGTCTGCAATATGGGATTTTCTGTGCCAATATGTGTCGTTCATATGTAAGTTGTTCCTACTGATTTTATAAATGCGATATTTTTGCAACGTATTTAAATATCTGCCCTTCCGTCCTGTTCTTATGACATCCACGGTATCTGTTATTGTTCCATATGTATGCTTCGTGTTTAGTGTATGGTTATGATTATCATGTGCTTTATTTGTTATGTGATATGTATGTTGTCACGTTTCAGTGATTAGACACGTGGTTTGGATTGGAAAGTGGACTTATTGAACGGTTATAACTCAAAACTATGGATAATTACAACAGTCACTATATAGATCACTACGACTGTAACACTCGAAATATCTTCTGTTAATACACTATATGACGGGGAAGCAGGACATCAAAGCAAGCCTTGGGCTTCTATGTCTTAGATAATATTCAGAAGTTGGTTACTTATATGCGCTTGTAGAAAACTCCATTGCCTTAAGTTCAGTGATTTTGTAACGTACTCTTTGTGTGTCACAGGGCTGATCTGTGCTGAAGGCGAACTTTGGAAAGACCAGCGTAAATTTGTTACAGTATGTCTAAGAAACTTTGGCATGATCAAATTTGGTTCTAAAAGAGAGAGATTGGAGAAGAGAATATTAGTTGGTGTCCAGGAGTGCCTTGAGGTAAGAAATACCATTGCTTTCATTTTAAGACATATGACATATGAATAACTTTCAGCAGAACTGAGATACTGACAACAAAGGTTTAGCATACTTTACTTCGGGGGAAAAATTAAGCACGAAATAACCGTGCTCTCGCTATGTGTACGTGCTTGTCATTTCAAATTTTGAAATAGTTGACTGATTCTTACAGAATTTAAAATAAATATTACCCCATTAGCTACTATCTCAATCTCGTACTTGTTAATATCCGACAGTCAGTAATAATAACATGGAGGTGAACCAACGCTACTGCTATTTAATGTATTGATGAAAGAATTAACTGATTAAATTCGGGAATGCTTGCCCCTATCAGATCATAATCGCCCGTCTTCAAGGTTGCTGTCTAAATAACCAAATTCTAAGACGTGAATAAGTACGCTTTTCGGCGTGAAGTTTGGTCTATCAACGTAAAGAACGAAAATAATTGCGGGTGTTTGAGAACAGAGAGAAGACGAGAACATTTTAACAGACAAGGAAAGGAACACGAGGCTGATTAATACTGGACACTGAATAGTACTTTGATTGATGTTATTCACTAAAAATTAATTGGATAATCGAATCAAGGAGGATGTGATGGACAGGGTACGTATTATTCGTGGGGGAGATGAGAAAAGGATGACAACTTTTAGTTGGAAGACCTGAAGAGACGGTCTACTTTGGGGACTTTATTTACATGAGAGAATAATATTAAAACGGGTATTAAATTGCAGGTGGGCTGAATTTATCTGGCGGTGTGTAAGGTTTATTTGAGAGAGGGCGGCACAGGTTAAAACGGTAAATTTATGTTCCATCAAACTAGGGTAATTTTTTACCTAGTTGAGCAATTGCTGGCTTATCAAGAAAGACTGCTGCATGGAGTTAGCTCGTATTTCCACGTGCCTTCTACAAGGTAATTCATACTCCTCATATTTGACGGATAATTAATAGTTTTCATTTCCGGAATATGCCTTAGATGCTTGGGAGGAATTCGAACGCAGTGGAACCTCTACCGATAATACTTCACTGTATAGGCAACGTTATGAACTCCTTGGTCTTCGGTGTCTCCTACGCTGAGAATGATCCCATGTGGAAATGGTTGCAGCAACTCCAGGATGAAGGCTTAAAATATATAGGTGTTACGGGGATCCTCAATTTTCTTCCCATTTTAAGGTCAGTATATTGGTGATTCTTTGCAGTGATGCTAATTATTTTGTGTCCGAAATTCTTCCTGGATTGGCAGCAGTGCTGACTGAGATGGCCCTTACTTTTATGCAGCTTGTTCATTGTGTCTGGATCACACACGCCTTTAATTCATGCATAGACGCGAAACAGTCGAATTCTGGTACATTAGTTCTGATTGACCACTCAAATGAGTCACGTCCACACCGGCTCACTTTCTGGTTAAAGTGTGAAGTGCCCAGATTGAAAATACTTAGAACTTCGCCTTTTCTTCCCCCGTCAATATGGCAAGGTTCATAAGCACACGAACAGCTTCGACTTTATTTCTATTCACTTAAGCTTGGGAGCCATAGTTTTCATTTCTTCAGCACTCCAAGGGGGTATGCGGTGACATAGTTGGTTGAGGCACTATGCTACAAGCCGGAAGGTCGTGTGTTCGATTCTCGATGCGGTCATTGGATTTTTAAATTCCTTTTAAGCCGCACTGTGGCATTTGTCTCGGCTCAGCCTCCAACAGAAATGAGTACCAGGAATCTTCCTGGGAGTAAAGGGCGGCCGGCTTGTAAGGCTGACAGTCTCACCGCTGTCTGTGAGTTGATTGTCTAGAAAATGTGGGAGGCTCAACCTCTAACAACCCTATGAGCCTCCACGGCCTCATACAGGTATAACTTTACCTTTGCAGCATTCCAAACCCATGAGAAGCATCATGTTATCAACTAACAAGAAACCACAAATGTTAGTAGAAGTAATTAAATGTGAAATTTTACACAGTTAAATTTTAAAAATTTGAAAATATATGTTATTTCTTTGTTTATCTAATTTAGGTTTACACGATTGAAACCTTTCTCGTTATTTAGGCGTTAAATTTTCACTTCAACACAATCACTTGACCAAGAGCAGTCAACTGCTTGGTTTGTCATTGTAATCCGTACTTAACGGAATTATGAGCTCAGTAACAGGCAACATGGCGGACGGCAGCTTGTCGTTTGAAGCAGCGTGTATGTAGGTTCACGTAGCAGTAACATAGAATCTGAAGAAACAGACCCTTCAAATACGTAAAATAGCAAACTGAGTAGACAGTTTTACAAGACTACATATATCTATTACTCTGTTGGCTTGGCCCATGTGTGCAGCTCCTTATTTTCCTTAATTTCTTATGGAAAATTGGCTCCTGATTAACGCGTTTTACTTCACGCGATCCTTTTTAGGAAAGCTTTTACCTCTAAACCAGATAATATTTTATAAGGAGACGTAAAAATCATAGTGAAAGAAAGAATAAAGATGGAAGGAGCAAAACCACTTCTTCGAGAACTTCTTTGCAGAAAAGTGTATAGCTCAGAATGAGGTGATGTACGGGAATGCTTGTTTATAACAACGTTATCATTAGCTGGAGGTGAATGGTGAGACTCGCCCCGGCTGCTTTACTCCCTGGGAAAGATCCCCCGGTACCCATTGGATAAGAAGCTGGGTGAGCCCTAGAGCCGGTCTGGACGACACGGAGAATAGAAAATTCTTGACTTAATCAGGACTCGAACTCCGAACCTTCGGTCGTCCAGCCCATAGCCAGTCGCCATACCGGCTACGCTAGCCCGGCATTTTAGCTCTCTAAGATAAACTTAAAAAACATAAATATGTGTTCCCCCACTTCTAAATTACTTTTTTGTCTTAGAAATTCAGAATTGTTGCAAGATTGTTGTTAAGGGTCTTCAGCGTTTACTGGTATGCCTGAATTGTATGTTAGATAATGCAAACGTAAAATTGTTCTTGTGCTTAATTAATTAAATAAGCATTATACCATGTAGACATATGCGGGAGTGGAGGTGTAGCTCTGTTATTCTTTACTCCGGTACTAGATAGAGGTGAGTGATCATCTTCACGCCCCTACCGCTTTAACCCTTTGGAAATCGCCCACGAAACCCATTGCATAGGAGGCTTGGGGGTTGTCAGAGCCTGTCTGGACGCTGTGGAGAAGAAAACGAAATTATGTAAAAGTTAAAATAAAACTACGCGAATATACGGAAGCCGTCTGACACTCTACTTTATTTCGATTAATTTATAATTCATTTCTAGGTTTATTCCGAAATTCAAGAAACCGATGAATTTTTTGATGGAAGGGAAAATGAAATCACATGAGTATTATCACACAATTATACTGGATCGTATGAAGAAACGAAAGTCCTTCCCGGGAGATGATGAAAATTACCTTGCAGACAATATAATCGACTCTTTTCTGGACGAAAAGGAACGGCGTGGGGAAGGGGACAAAGGATTCTACAACACAACTCAGTTCCACCATCTTCTTGGTGATATGTTCGGAGCGGGACTGGACACAACGATGACCACCCTGCGATGGTTTGTCCTCTTCATGGCGGCGAATTCCGGCGCACAGGTACAGTATCCAAACAAATCTTCCACCGATACCAGTGACCCGAGACCAGCATTTTTCTTTCTGACAAGAATCTGTACCGCTCTTAATCTACGCCCTAATTAAACAAAAAACTTGTCTCTATGCTTATTTAATTGAGCTCCGGTCTAGAAAACCGAGACTAACGACCGTGGGGATTCGTTGCGCCGACCACGCGACACTCTCTATCCGCTAAAGTTGGCAGTAACTTGGCCGACAAACGGCGGTTGTTCGGTCGGTATAGTTCGCTTGCGGACTACAGGCCACGGAGTTCTTTTTATTAATTGAGCACTGTGCCATGAAGTCATATCCGGGAGTGGATGTGTAGATCCACCATTCCTAAACTCAATATTAGATGGAGGTGTATGGTCAGCTTCACGATCCAGTCGCCTTACCCTTGGTACCATTCTAAATTACCAAATTATATTTAATTCTGAATTTTTATCCATTGTCGTAGTTATTCATTGTGTTCTCTGCGTTCTAACGGTATACCTCTTGTCCCATAGAGGATTTTGGTTCTAAGTTGTAAATTATACGATATATTTAGTGAGTACTTTCCGTGCAGCAATGATAATTGAATAGATATTGGATTATCATTGTGGAGGCCGTGATTCAATTCCAGGTGATTTCATGTGGACAAAATGACTGGATTCACCTACAGACCTCCATCATCACGCAGTCGCCCTACAGGCCCTAGCAGAGCGCCCCCTGAGGTGCGCTATTATCACACCCAAGGCTTTTGAGTCAGGGATCTCGGCTTTCAACAGGCACCAGACTCTTTACAGAGCAAGGGAATTAGTAATTTGATGATATGTCTCTATGCCTAAGCACTGCGTCATTAAGACATGTGGGAGGGGGTGGAGGAAGAATTCCTCACTTCTAGGTGGAACAGAGTGGCCGGCTTCATCCTATTGCCGTTTCACCATCGAAGAAAGAGATCTTGTCCAAGGAAATCAGGGTGGGTGGGCCCCACAGCCTGTCTCAATATGGCGGTGGAGCGAGAAATCTCTGATCTCGTCAGAATTTCGAGCCCCGGTAGCTTAGCCGCAGGATGGCCATTTGTTCTGCTCTCTTGGTTCCTAATGATGTGGTGTTGCTGGTGATGATGGTGATATAAGAGGGATACGACTTCAGTCCCGATGACACTGCAGCCACAGATGGGTCTACTGTCGATGAGGATGATGATAGATGAGTACCCACAGGACATATGTGTGGAATGATTATTTGCGTGGTTAAACCATAGTACTGTAGTAAGATAAATCTGATCAGGTCCACACCCCACCACACTGCTCTCTCATTTCCCTCCCTCCAAGTTTACAATCTCGTGGCCAATGTCCCTTCTTGCAAAAAACTTACGAATATTCACGAATTATTGACTTGCAAAACAAAATATACTTGCACTGTTACAAACGTAAATTTGCCCCTATACTGAACTAATCAGTCACTACATCGTGAAGACGTATGTGGGAGTGGATGTATAGATCCACGTATTCCTGACCTCGGAACTAGTTGGAGATGACTAGTCAGCTTCACGTCCTGGCTGTTCTTCCCTTGGGGAAAGAGGGGATAGAAGGCTGGATGGGCCCCAGAACTGGTCTGGACGAACGGTAGAAGATAAAAATCTTTCCCTTACAGAGACTCGAACTCCGTCCCCTTCTGCCATCCAGTCCATAGCCAGTCACCTACCAACAACGGTATATCGGCTCCCGATCGCAATAATAATATGTTTACTATCTGCAGATGTGCGTATTTTGAATATAAATGCAATAACTTAGAGTATTTTCTTATGTCTACTGTCATGTAGAAGAGAGTCCAAGCAGAATTAGACAGTGTAGTTGGCTCCCGTTTGCCAACTCTTGAGGACCTACCATTGCTACCCTACACTGAAGCCGCTCTTGCTGAGACCCAAAGGATCCGCTCTGTTGTACCAGTCGGAATACCACATGGAGCGTTGGCGGTGAGTGCAGAACAATGAATTTTGTTACTGATGATTCAAGCCCTCGTCTGCACGTAGTATAGCAAACCTCAGAGCAAGATGGAAGAATTCTGTGTAGTTGGTTTTCCGAAAGATTCCATATCTACAGGCCGTTTCCTCGATTCGCAATCACTCTGTATAATTATGATGATAATAATAATAATGATCATAATTAAATTATTTATTTGCCGAGTGAACAGCTGCAAGGCAATTACAGACACAGCACAGTGTAGAAACTATTAATCACATTGAGGACGAGCACAACATAAAGACAAGAGAAAAATTACAAGCAAAAACTGGAGAAGGAAAACACAGTAATACAGAAAAAGTGAACAAAACTAAGATGAAGAGAAATGTGTAAAAACATAATAACTAAGAATTACCTAACACAAGAACATTAGGATTACGAAGGACTAACTATTAACAAATTTAGGGAGAAGAATATACAGTCCCTAACACTGCGAGTACGAACACGAAGACTAACATTTTCCAAAAAGGAAGTCCAGGATTTAAGCCCACGATAGACCTGAACAAAAGCAAAATACATCAAGATGTTTTCTTTTATGTAAAGAATGTAAACATAACAATAGTACTACTACTAATAATATTTTTAATTTGTTTCATTCTGGTCCGTCACACTAACAGGTTTACAATTAAGTTTATTTCAGTCCACTGTGACACCACTTTAGCACTTAGTTACACAACATGTTTTGATTCATAATGAATCATCGTTAGAGCTATGCCTCTACGATCAGGAATCCACTAATACGTAACAGTTTTTAAGAGTAGAAACACTTAAAACATTTATGATGCTCACTATATGTCTATTTGTGTATACGACAAAAATCAACAACTACATACGTGTATAGTGAGCATGATAAATATTTTAAGCGTTTCTACTCTTAAAAACTGTACGTATTAGTGGATTCCTGATCGTAGAGGCATAGCTCTAACGATGATTCATTATGAATCAAAACATGTTGGGTAACTAAGTACTAAAGTGGTGTCACATTGGACTGAAATAAACTTAATTGTAAATAATAATATAGTAATTAATTTCTTAATTATTTAAGTCCTAACTTAGTACCCCAAAGGCCACATACAAAGTGATTACGAATAAGGAAAAAGAAACAAAACACAACACAAAAAATAAATCACAATTTGAATAATATTATTAGTAATATTAATATTAATATCAAAGCTATATGTAGCGGTTATACTTACGAACCGAAACAAAAAGGTTGTTTATGAGATATTTTTGAAGGGCTTTTGGAATAATAAAAAAAAATCAGTAAAATGTATTTCCATTAGACTGCATGTTTTGTATTACACTCACACTTTATGTTGAGGGAGTTGTTATTTTCCTGCAGAAGAACTGACAAGGAGCCAAAATAATGTATGATAACAATGCTCTTTGTCTGTCGTGCTAAATTTTCATGTTTCGATTTACATTTACAGATATCTTACATCGTCCTTGAAAATTTCTTGCGTTGTGTAATCTCTGACTTGGTCTCCCTGCAGGCCACCACTTTTGCAGGCTATCACATTCCGAAGGGCACCATGATAATGCCTCTACAGTGGGCTGTACATATGGATCCCAACCAATGGCCAGAACCGGAGCGTTTCAGTCCTGAGCGGTTTCTAACAACTGAGGGTCAATTCAACAGACCAGAAAGCTTCATTCCTTTTCAGACAGGTGGGTTAGCAAAAACGGCATTTAAATATTGCCTTATCTTATCGCCTAATTCTTCTGCTTATCGCGATATATAAAACGCTCTGTTCTCTTTTGATTAGACACTTAAGAAACTTTAAGTTACCTTCCTTTTAATAACATGGCTAAGGTATATATAGGGGTACTCCATTGCTGTGTCATTGTCAGACCTACTTATGTTTCTGAACATGTCTTTGTAATTGTTGTTTTATGCGTCTCTACAAAAGCTGCAAGAGAAGAATGTGTATATGGATGGTCAAGTCTGTCCATCTCGAGAACTCTCGGACTGATTTCGACGAATATTTATATGAAGAGAGTACTAGGGCGTAGAATCTGTAACAGCAGCTTGTCGACCTCACGAACTTGTGAGGTAGGAGCAAAATTAGCGCCACTAACGACATGCAGTTACCATGGCAACCAATCATAATAATGTCAATGATAGGATATATATTAAGAATAAGAATCTTCTGAGCAGTAGTAGCCAAAATAATGATAGAAGTCAAAGGAACACAAATTTAGAATGCCAGCGGTGTGAGGTTTCACGGCTCTCGGAATCGTGAGGCAGTAAGGGATTCGGAACCAAGAATGTTTGTGCTGGGGAGGACCAGCAGGAATTTACACGACCGACGACAGAATGCTAACATCCAAACAATTGACCCCGATATGTTTTGTGCCTTTCCAGTCTTTTACTTATAGGATCTTAAATTTATGAGTGTTTCTCAGCGCTATTCTTTTTGTTGCCCTTTCTTTAATCGTTTACTCATTTTTCTAATAACGTTCTTTGTTTGTTTGTATGTATACTTGTTTATTTATTTCTTGAATACAGGTAAGAGGATGTGTGTTGGAGAAGAATTAGCCAGGATGATGCTGTTTTTATTTGGATCAGCCATCATTCAGAAATTCAACATCACTGCACCAGATAACATTGACATCGATCTAGAGGGTGAATGTGGATTTACACTTGCCCCGAAACCTCAAAAACTGATTTTTATTCCTAGAGTATGAAAATGGAAGCGTGATGTAAAACATCAGCAGATGTGCCATTATGGATTTCCTGTTTATTTTTTATGTCTAGAAAACAGAATACTAAATAGAAGAGCGAATAGCATTTACATGTAATAAAAGTAACATGATATGAAATGTTGAATTGGATGATATGCATGCAAGCTAGAGAACCGTGACGAAGTTACATTTGGACATGAATTGCATAAGTGATTTCATTTAATTAGGAATTGTGATTTTAGTTTCAGTTTCCCCATACCATTACATGTATACATTAATATAGCACGTAGCTCAAGTTCCTATTTCCGTTGTTGTGTTAGTCTGCCTGTCTTCATTTATTGTTATGAATAAACAGATTTCGTCACATTTTTTTTCCTTTGTCGCTACAGCCCCATTTTGGACCTTGGCCTACCTCCATGAAACTCTCCGTTTCACTTCGGTTTACTAGATCTTAGACATTCGGTAAGACTCCTTGGCCATGGTAATCATCTCGTCGCAATACCTCTACCTGTATACAGACACAGGAAAACGTACACACACACACGCACACACACATGCACACACGCACAAAAACACGAAACATCCATGCCCTGAATGGAATTCGAACCCACGATACCGGCGTCTGAGCAAGCGAAGACAGAAGGCCGCGCCATAGCTCAAGCAGTTAGTTGCTGGCTTCCAACCGCGGCGGCCCGGGTTCGATCCCGGGTCTAGTCAAATGGGATTTGTGGTGGACAATGTGGCGCTAGGGCAGGTTTTCTCCTACTACTTCGGTTTCCCTTGCCAATCTTCATTCCACCTAATTCTCCATCATCATAATCACCCGGAGCAGGCTACAATAGGCCATTCAGTGGCCGCCGTGCCGAGTGGACCCAGTTGGATTCCGCCCCCCCCTAAACGAATTTAAAATTAATTTTTGAGCGAAGACAGTGCATACCTTATACCACTGGGCTACCGTGACCGGTTGATTTAGTTACATACCAAATTTAATATTCACATGCCTTGCTAATATAAGTCTGTAAAGAGTAAATTGAACTTAAACAAAACTCAAAAACTTGGAGCACAAATATGCATAAATGCAGTACTAAATACATTTCAGATGCTCTAAATAAATGAATACAGGACTAAATGGGTTCATACTACAGAAGATAATATTTTTCATAATCACCGTCCTGACACTCACAAATCCAACAACTGTTTACTAGGTCTAATATAAAGATAAAAAAAAAAGATAAAATTGTCCCTGTGTTTAAGTAAGCAAGCACTACGCCATGAAGGCGTATGAGGGAGTGAATATATAGATCCGTATGTTCTTGACCTCGGCACTAGTTGGAGGTGAGTGGTCAGTTTCACACCCCTGCTGCTTTACCCCTTGGTAATGTGCCCCTGATGCCCATTGGATAGGAGGCTGGGTGGGCCCCAGATCCGGTTTTGACCCAATTTCGAATTACACTTTTCTTTGTAGTTTATTTTACGATTCTGTCAGTAACTGGGAGAATATAGCGTCGAATAATGGGAAGATAATGAATAATATATTAGGAAGATATTTCGCTCCGATGATCTTCTCATCAAAGGGACCGACACCGTTCGCCCTTCTACGGTAGACCGCGGAAGACGGAGACGCGCAAGGACAGTTGAGTGGAAGAGAGGATACTGAGGCGCGTAGCGAATTCCTGTACCAGCGGTCGTCGCGTACAGGCAGCTGAATGTGTTTGTGAGGCGGATTCTCCATTGACATTTATTGCACCTGTGCCATTTGCAACGGGCAGAAGCTCGCTCGATTTTCTCCCAGTAGTTCTTTCTTCAATGTAGCAGTCATATGGTCTTCGCGAACAGAACACACTTCACAAGGAACGACATACTATATTTCCATAATATTTTCACGTGTATTAGTGACTATAGACGAGATTTGGTTTGGTAAATAGATATATTGACCACTTAAAAGTTTTAACTACAAATCATTATAATACTATTGCTGATGTTCACACTACAAATCACTCCACACTAAATCTCTCAAGTCTTTCCACTAACCATTACTTGGTAACAGCTCTCCGCAATGGCTATTCCTCTGCAGTGTCTTCGCTAGACGTTTCCTAGTACAGAATCGTAGCATCCTTTGTCCGCTGGTTAACACTCCACAGCTGATCCTTCAACCGAACTCCCAATTATTTTTCGCCTCTCGTTATATAGAATCAGATCGGACCTCGCTGTCACGTGTCAGAGTGCATGTCCATTTGTTCTTTACTTAGCACTGAGCGTGGTGCGGACCACGTAAAAATCTCATCTTCTCTTGTCATAATACATGTTTATCGGCCCGTTGCCTAGCATTGAGCATGGCGATGGCCACATAGAAAAAACTTCTTCCAGTACCTTTCTATTGTTGCGTTCTATCAGACGTTGCCTACAAATGAGTTTACATGTCACAATATGTACATTTATCGCTGAGAGAACCTACAGAGTGCAGTTCAGTTCACACTTCGACAAACAAAAACAAATTCCGTGGTTTTAGCCCGCAAGCGAACGATACCGACAGGGCAACCGCCGCTTGTCGGCGAAGTTAGTGCAAACTTCAGCGGATAGAGGGTATCGCGTGGTCAGCGCAACAAATCCTCACGGCCGTTAATTTCGGTTTTCTACACCGGAGCCGCTATTTCCGTGAAATAACCCCTCAATTATCCTCACGAGGCTGAGTGGACCCCGTTCGAGACCCAGTACTTCTCAAAAAGTCTGGTAGCGCCAGAAATCGAACCCGGACCTCTGGATTTGTAGCCAGGAACTCTGACCACTACACCAGAGAGGCGGTGAGATTTCGACAACATTTCCGAAATAAGATTTGGACTGTTACTCTTGGAGACTCTTTCGCAGGCCCACACATTTTGCCCGGTAGATTTCATGCCTCTGCTTTCCGTCATTTTTTGGAGCACACTTTGCCAGGGTTGTTGGACACTTCCCTGCTGGGTATTCGACGAAACATGGTTCAAGCAATATGGCATCCCAGCGAGATGAGTCTGCAGCCACCTGCTCAAGCTGGTTCCTCGCTCATGGATTTTTCTTCTACCTTGAAGATGGAGTCAATATGTTCCTCCGAAAAATCAGTTCACGCAAGATCTTCACGATGCCATATCCCAGAAGACGGTATTATTCACAGTCACGGCCTTGAAAGCCTCAAATCTTACATATTACATACTCTCCAGTTTTGCTACTAGGTTTACAACATTCTCTACAGGAACGCCTTCTGTTGGGCCGAGAAATTATCAGGCACATTTGTCATCTAAATGTTTCACTAACATGTAAAAATTTGCATAATGCAACAATCGAAGCAAATTAGGCTTTATTCATAGATAAATCGATCTTAATGCATGAACCACAGAAGCGGTAAGCAATTCCACTAGCTGAGTGGTGCAAAGTCATTCCTCAACAGTTGGTAGTCATTCAGTTATTTAAGAAATTCCCTGTCTTCTATGAAATCCGAAGGTTAATTACCGTACACATAAGAGCCCGCCCATGGTCCCTATTCTGAATCAGATGAATCTAATCTACATAGTCACATATCGTTTCTTTAAATGATATAAACTCCGTCTCAAGTGCAAACAATATATTTGTGTCTTTGATCTTGCTCCCTACACTACATGTTTCGGCCTCAGACGGCCATCATCAGGTGTAAACACTCACGTCGCTGTCACACTGCACCCAGTTCAAAATTTAACATCTAAAACACTCTCCCTGTCATTATCAACTTCTACTTCGTTGATAGCTGTCCACCCGTAGATTACTTCACACACGTTAATTTTGAGTTTATTGTAATAGCACCATAATAAAATCTTTAGTTCTAATTTTAAACCTTTAAATTCTTGTCCAAATTTTAAAATTTTAAAATTGTTAGGGTTATTCGCCCTGTGTTTGAAGTGCTGCAGCGGCTAGTTCTTGTTTCCACACTGTATAGGTGTTATCCTGTGTAGTCTTTCTGTGTGCGTGCCGCTGCTATTCTTTACTACGTGTGTTTTAGATGTTAAATTTTGAACTGGGTGCAGTGTGACAGCGACGTGAGTGTTTACACCTGATGATGGCCGTCTGAGGCCGAAACATGTAGTGTAGGGAGCAAGATCAAAGACACAAATATATTGTTTGCACTTGAGACGGAGTTTATATCATTTATCGTATGGAGTGCAACAGGATGCTTAAATATAATATCGTTTCTTTCATTATCTATTTTAAAATTACTTTCCTATCCACATCTAGTTACAGAAGCTATTCTAAAATTCTGTAATCATATAAGATCTCCTCGTATGTGCTACGTGCTCCACCTCTCTCACCCTCTTTGTTTTATATCCTTAGAAATGTTTGGTGAAGTGTATAACTTACGAAACACTCCGGAATAATCCCCATACATGTGCACAAAGGCCCGGTAATTATGTCCCCTGCCATGTCATCTTAAAATGCATCTTCTTTTGCGATGGCGTCGCAGCACCGGATTCTGGAACAAACCCAAACATTCGAAGCCTGAAGAATTCAAATGACATGCGCACAAGTACGCATTCGACTTGTCATATGTAGTACAATTTGGGCATTCTGCCAAAACGCTTTTATGTATGTTGCCAAATATAATAAGCCTGCAAGTACAGCTTGTTTGTCTATTGAAAAGTTACTAGTAACATGGCCTTCATAACTTTCACTGTAAGAGTTTTATTGTGTGCACGTGTCTGTACATGTAATGGTAGCCTGCAGCCGTCACTGGGCAGGCAAAACTGCGTGGACTATGGGAGGAAGGACTTGTCCAATCCGCATTCTGCTGATGTTTGAGACTTTCATGGCCGGGAATATTAAGGATACATTTTTTTTTCTGGGATAGGACACCATGTAGTCCGTTTATGGATTTTAGCTTGTCAGAGGGGCCTATCACAACAATCTTTACAGCAGAAGCTGACCAGTGGGTACGAGGAACTATTTCCTCGTGAGTAAAGTATCAGAGTGTGAAGCAAACCATCCACCCCATTTTGTATCTAAGTCTAGAATTTACTGGGTTTTGGTTCCATTACAAACTATATTGATTTATTGATTCTGGTGTGTGGTGCCGTGTAGGTGTTGTGTAAACTATCGTATCGTCTCCATCTTCAGGGTAGAAAAATCCGCGAGCGAGAAACCAACGTCAGTAGGTGGCTGCAGACAGTCATCAGTCGCAAAACACCCAGCTATATAATAACTTATTGACTACGGTCAAATTTATTTTACTTTATTTCTACTACAAACCATAATGTTGTAATGTTTAAGCATGGAGCCAAATTTAACACTGTAAGACACATGAAAAGTTTACCTCTACTTTACCTGTATCAAAAAAAAATATTTTATATTTGTAACATTAATAATGAAAGCTATAAAACTGAAAACTTATGCTGGAAAATCTGTTCCCGGATATTTTCGCTATCTTAGAGCGCAGAGATATTCTTGAGAACAATCTCTCCATTGTTTCGAAGAGGATAAGAACAGGACCCGTATACTGGATGTATAGTATGTTTCACGAATTAAGCAAGGTTATATTACTTCATAAAATTTACAATACGCAATTTTTTCCGCGTAATTTTATTTGTTGAATAAAGATTTTTTGTTGTCCACATAATAATTTAGTATTTTAGCATTCTGTTGCAGTTGGTATTATTTTTTTTTATTTACCGTGCACCATGCAACAATGTTAAGAATTAAAATTAAATTCTTTTAAAATTCGTCATTTGTTTCGTCCTACTCGTCCCGCCTCAGGTGCGTTGAAATTCGTGGAAATTTCTGCGCCTTCTGCTCTATTGTGATCGACGTTTGTCACATACAAAGCATTTCAAAATGAACCAAGACAGACAATATATGTGGCATAGAAGGAGGAACTGCATTGGCTTTATTTTGAAATGTTTTAAATATCAAAATACTAATCACAGAATAGCAGAGGGCACAGTAATTTCCCCGAATTTCAGCGCACCTGATGATAGACGAGTAGGCCGAAACATATAGTGCAGTGACGTATTTTAAAACGATTATTTTAAACTCTTAACGTTGTTGTATGGTAGTCGGCAAACAGAATCAAAATTAAATTCCAGACAAGAAGAATGACCTCGTCAGATTGATTTCATTGCTAATTATTCCACAGACGAACTGGGGGTACGGCAGAGGACTGATCCCTAAGGTCTGAAGCAGAAACGCAACTATCTCCGAAACAACAAGGTATAACTATTGGCAACCTGTGGGCGATTTCGTCATTGACTCGATATTCCATTTCCATAACCCTCATTTGGGTTATGAAGCCAAAAGTTTTTAGTTTCCTTCCCTTGGCGCTATAGCAATAGTTGGGCCTTGACCTACCTCCATGAAACTCTCCGTTCACTTCGGTTTTTCTAGATCTTACACATACGGTAGGACTCCTTGGGCGGGTGATCAGCTCGTCGCAAGGCCTCTACCTGTACACAAACATAGAAAAACGCACACACACACACACACACACTAACACTAAACAACTATACCCTAAGTGAGATTCAAACCCACAATCCCTGCTTCCGAGCGAGCAAAGACAGTGCATGCCTTAGACCGCTCGGCTACCGCGACCAGCTATAAGTTTTTAATTACTTGGAGGTAATTTCATATGAACACATGCGTTTCCCACTGTCAGCAGATGTATACTAAAATGGACATCATTACTGACAGCCATCGTCTTCTGATGTTAGGTGAGAAATGTAAAAGACGAATTGTAACATAGCCTATACCACAAGCAGGATAATCGTTTTGTCTTTTCACTCCTATGATTATTAAATCAAAGACATAATTAATAAACAAAATAAATTCTGAACATTCGTTACCGTCAATTTATGAAAAAGCTTTACTCCTGCATAATCAGACAATTTGACTAGTGTGACGACAAAGATATTCACCTCGAATGGGCAATAAAATATGTACATTGATGGTTCATACCTGGTTTGTAACCCACCAAAAGGAATACATTTTCCTTCTCATACATTCAGTCAGTCTTAATCGAAAACCTCGTAAGAACTTGGAGATCAGTACTCTATCCTGTGTGAGAACCTACCCAACTCCATGTTTTCAGTAGAAGATTCTGTCGTCAAACTGTTATTAGAGTCCGTCAACATCTAAATCAACCAAAGTCCATGATACAGATTTTTTTGTTGTTGTTACGAGTTTTAATGACTATAGGCTGGGTTTGTATTGGTGAATAGATTTATTAACATCTTATACAGTCAGCTGGTGCTTACAAGTAATATGGTGCTATTGCTGATTCACAAAATTTACAGTTCACCGTTACACACGCACTACGATTCTCAGTCTTCATAGTCGTGTCCTGGTAACGGAATTAAAACAGTCTGACTATACCTTCTAATCACACACTAGGTCTTTACTGGCTGAGTTCTAATGCTTCAATTACTAACTTCCTACGGCTATCTCCTACCGGCAGTTGACCTCAATTCTCATTCTCGTATTGTTTATTGCGCTCCATTGTGCTCCGCTGTATTTCCATTCTCTTTATTCTAACTTTCCTTCAACCTGACTCTCTTATATAGTCGTAGTTGCTGCACACACCATGCAGCACAGAAAAAAGTCTCGACGCGGATCTACAGAAAACACCTCCCTCTATCACTTCTATTGTTGTGTGACGTCTTCGCGCACACGTAAGCTACGCGCTCTTTGCATAGCAACGGTCCATGCTCGAACCACAAAAACATTGCTTCTGTATTGTTGCCCGCGTGCGTTGAGGCCGATGCCTAGCAGTGGGTCGATATAACACAGTATCATCAATTGAAATATTTTTTAATTTATAATGTTATATTATAATTTTCTACCAATCTGGATAATTATTCTATCTTCAAAATTCTTACACAGCTTCCCTTTCACCGTGCTAAAGAAACCATAATTTTTTTGGTTTTATGTATACTATTCCTGAAAACGACTGCCCCTCTAAATATTCAATTTTCAAACCAGTGATAATTATTTTAAAAATTCAAACTACAGCTCGATTAGTCCATAAATATGGCTTCAGTATTTATAGACCATTGTGCAGAAACATAGATACAGTTCTATATGGAAGTGGAAATGGGTAGGGGAAAAAAATCCAAGACAATTGAAAATTTTTGATGTACTGTAGGCTTCAATTGAGGAATTATATTTTCCATACAATATTTTATTTGTACAAAAATCATTAATGCTTACAATTAACAAAAGCGAAGTATTCCATTCAAATGAAAGATGAAAATAAATCTTTGATGATCATTACATTCATGAAATATTGTATCATCAAAATTACAATTGTTGTTCAATTAATTTATGAAAAAGACATGCAATAATCAGTCATTCAATTATATACAATCATTACACACATTACTACACATTGATACAATTCATAAAGGCTATAAAAATACACAAACTTATGAACAGCGAAACCATTTTCATATGTAATATGTAAACAGAATGAACTATAACAACCACCGTTTCCATTCGTACCTGCATAGGAATTCGTTTTACATATTGCTATTCCATGTCGCCTATCCTGAACCATGTCAATGAACTGTAGTGTATAGGACCAGATAACCTTACATTACGCAAGAAAAGAATGCATATGATCTTTATATTTGATCACTAACGTTCGAGTTAAAAGGAAGTAGTCCTGATAGCGTAGCGGTATTTCAAATTGAAGTTTCCGTGTTAGTTATTCTGCCAGCCTCATTACGCAGGTTAAACCAAACAATTGTGCGCGTGCGTCAGCAGAAACCGAGCTAGTTGCTCGGGAACCATTATCAAGTACTGCAGTGATGAAACATTTGAACACACAATACAATTAAATCCAAAACAGTAGCGAGTGTATCTTTGGATTTCATCTTCAGTCTAAGTAATAAAGAATTTTCTTTTGGAAACCATATCTTCAGGATACCCCTAAACATAAACACAGTTATCATACCAGGCCAGATTAATTATAAAATAACGAAGATTAATTTTGTAATTGCTATCAATAAGATTAACATGTAAGATTTTAAGATATGAAACTTCCATGGCAACTGAATGCAGTGAAGTCTCCTTGGGCGGCAATTGTGTCAGCGCGGGACAAATACCCACTTTTTGGTGACTGTCTTTTCTTATATCAGGAACTTTTGTTATGAATGGTAGAGTTTTTTCTTTGTGTGCATTTGTATGTATATATATATACTGGGAGGATACGTGGTGTCTCTGTCGGGCCACGGTCTTTTCGCTATGCGCGCTGTATGGACCCCGGTCTTCCCGACTGCTCCCATGCGAAACATGTCGGTCAGAATTATTGCTGTCTGAATGTAACAGGGTCACAAGCCCTCCCACTCAGGACACACCAAACAGCTAAATTCTCTATCACTGTGCCGAAATTCGCACATAAGTTATGAATTTCCTGTGCTGTGGCCTCAGTTGTTTTGTGACAGCATTTTTATTCAAATAGAATAAAGCTGATTCTAAAAAAACGTAGATGAGGGATTAAATTCACGATTGTGAACTGTCTAAAAATACCAGTTACAGAAATTATTGGTGACTTGGATGTTGATAATGGCAACTGAAATTTTGTAAAGTCGCAGTTTCAGTAATTTCTCTGCAGTTCTCGCGGTCTTTTTAATATTCTTTTATCTTGCGTAAGGTACGTAAGAGACCTATGACACTAATTTTCATACCGAGCTCTCATATCCTTAGGTTCTTTTTCTACTAATACTCATTTTGGCATGTTTTTCCTCTCTAGTGACACGCCACTTGTTCCCATTTTATTAATAGGATTCTGAATAGCTTTTCTATGGGGAATTCAATTCACGAGAATCTCTCAAATTCATTTTGACACCTCCTAGCGGAATTACACATCACTCATTTACAAAACTTATCAGTGCCCAATATAAAGTGACTCTTGACAGAATAGCAACAAATTTATTAATGAACTTGTCTTCCGGGATGTAGACCATGTAGACTGTTAAAAGACAACCAACGTTCGGAGGACTATATCGACTCGATCTTCAGGGTCGAGAATAGGCCTAGCAAGATACCAGCGTGAAAGCAGGTGCCAAGCAAGAAGAGAGAGGAGATATTTTTCTCCGAAACATCCGTTAACTTTCAACGGACTTCTCGGTGTTATATCCAAGAATACAGTACTCTTCATAACTATCGTTGTGAGAAACTCAGATCCTACAGAATGATTGATACTACAGCTTTGGAAACCCATAGTTCTGCATATATTACAGACATACGATCCAGTTATTCCTGTAACATATTTTCAGTCAGTTCACTGTGGCAACTCATTCCGAATTGAGATATTTTTGCTCTGTTCTGTTTCAATTGATTTTTATTATGGCCCGAGCTTGAGGAGGGTTGTGCATCTTGTTTTATGCAGACACAGCATGGGAAGAAGAGGCGAGCCAGTAAACTTCGCTCTTATTACCACGGCCGACCGAGTAGGAGAGGTAGTGTGTGCGCATGACAGAAACGCCTTGCATTGGAATAACCGCCATATAATATTATTGTGTGTATACTACATAAAGTGTTGAGCCGACTTGCCATCAGGAGCGGGCCGATCTCATGAACGTGGCGTAGCCTGGCGGGTATCTACCTATCCTACACAGGTAAAAACCATTGTTGCATGGCCTGGAAAATTCTCCAAATAGTTGGGAAATTCACTTATTACTGACACGGCTAATTTCCCGAGCAAGCTTCAAGGACTGCAGATTACTGAGTGCAAGAATGGTACAATATACTTAGACTGCTTTCACTTCATTTCAAGATCAATAAATGATATTTCTGCTTCCTCCACTAGTCGCCACCATTCCAATATCAATTCTATTGTCAACCATATATTAAGACACTGACCCCATTTGACTAGAACAACCCAAGTAACGTAATTTTTGTTCAAGGGAAGATTCTTGACACAATTTAAATACCAACGCTACAAAAGGAACAACAATAGGATTCAAATAAAAAGTTACTTTCAACTGTTATCCCATCCCCATTTTGTACTCTTTGTAACCCAGCCGTAACATGTTAATGATAATCCGAAGTTTATTAAAGTCATAGTTGCCAGTGTACATGAAATAAATATGTACGATTATGTATCATTTCTACAAAGATGGAAGTGAGTGAGGATGATTATATGGTGAACACAAAATTTTCTAGAGACTAGGATTGTTGGTTTAACGCTACGGTATTAACGTCAGAAACATACATGCCGTATGTTACTGTTCCTTACCAAAAATTTATACATGGGCCTACCAGACATACGCCGGTATATATTAAGAACAGTAGTTACATGTTTCATATTTCTTACTGCATATATCGGTACAGATTTCGGAAATGAGAAAAAAACCCAAACCATAAAATTTCTTACGAAATCTGATTCAAATTTAGTCGTTCAGCTACCAGAATAGTAGTCATATCCATTTGCTCTCTCTTTCAGTTGTTTTGGTCATTCGATTTCCGCCTTAATTTCAATGGACATTATGAAAGGCCTATCCGTTGACATGCAATACTGTCTTTATTCCGTCGGTTCTCCTTAACGCTATCTCTGACTAGGAAATAGAACTAGCGATTCAGTCGCCTTGGTACAAAATGGATGCTACAGTTTTTGTGGTTGATAAGAATGGAAATGAACACAATCAGTAAGTATATCTTCATGAACAACAAAGAAACAAGAGTACAACGCGTATAAAACTATGAACACGAGGTTGTAGAACGCACAGCCGACAGGCGTCAACATGACTGAAAACTGACGCAGTTTGCAGTAATGACACATCAGTGCAGACATATTGTACAGGTTAATTCCTGCTGTAGAGTGATAACGAGGTTAAGATAGTATAAATATCCGTTTCGTTTTGCACATATAACACTTTCTTGTTAGGTACAAACGATATATTCTGTTCCTGAAGATGTGATGAATTTCGTTCGAAGACCAGACATTTATATTAACATTTGTTTAACATTGTGCTGTTGCAATACAGCTCAGGAACTAACAGCGCTTCAACATATGTCCTTATGGCACTTTCTTGTAGTTCAATATTTACGATGTTAGCGATTGAGCAAATGGAAAACAAAATTGAAGTCATGAATGTTACTTGTTGTACTTCAAAGTATGTACTTATCAGGATAACTGTTTTCATACGGGTTTGGGAGAGGGACACCGTCACAAAGCCGTAGCCAACAGGAACTTGGTGCTGACGAAGCCCGACCGTTGGTTGTGATGTAACGCGCGGCTTCTCAGGTCAGTCAGTGCACACCAACGTTCCTAAGAGACGAAACGTCGACGCTGTTACACTGCAAATCCAAATCGGCTTCCAGCGGCCTTTGAAGTAAGGATACCTGCAAGAAAGAGAAGCATGTATAAGCCCTCAGTTTTCACAACATAAGAGATAAAGGTGAAGTTAAACACCACAGTTCCACCATTCTTAATTTCATCCTAGAATGAGCTAAGTGGTCAGCTTCACGCTTCTGTCACATTATAGTCCCTGGTACTCATTTTGCAGGAAGTTGAATGGACCCCAAAGCCGGTTGGGAGCTCGTGAAGAGGGAAAAAATTTCTTACGCCTACCTGGATTTGAACTCCTATTCTTCGGTAGCACAGCCCGTTGCCTAGTCACCACATCGACTGAGCTATCCCTGCCCAGATCTTTAATTTGTTCTTACAATCTTAATGGCCTACACTTATAGTCCTACAATGCCAAAACCGGCGTCACGGCGATCTGCGATTAGGTGCTGAAATATTAACACGCGGTCATTGCTTTTGTTCTGCCAGCCACTCCTCGGGAGTGCAGGTTCAGACATCTTCAGTACGGTAAAGGAATTATCCCTTACATAGTTATAGTACAGAATATCCCATTGTCCTGTCAAGGTCATTCCTTTCCCCCCCCCCNGATAACCTTATGCTGCACTTAATTAAAACACTACTCTACGACGACGTATCCGTCCGTATGTTTAATCAAGCACTACTCATGTATATGTAGGAATGAGTGGAGATAAAGTTCCACATATTCTTAACTTCTTGTGAACGATTGACTTCAAGCACCGACCGTTTCATTCCGCGAAGTGAACACTCCTGGTTGGGCCTCAGAGTCGGCCTGAACACTGTGGCGAAAATAAACATCTGTCACCAACGGGAATCGAACTCCGGTCCTCCAGTCTGAATCCTAGCCGCTATACAGACTGGACCTCAAGGGTTACGAAAAGATAGATGTGTTATATACTGTTCCTTGCAGTGAGGCCACTCATAATAACGTAGGCAGGCAGGGAAATTTTGCTCCACTGCCAATATATGACATTTCTCATATACGAAGTTGGGGGAATTAATATTTTCTTGCGTACCGGGAAATACATTACAGTCTCGTCATATTATACATAACACCATTGCGCTTACTGTCATAACGACGGCAATTTAAATAGAAATACGACCGACTTCCGTTACATTTGTTACATAAGACATGATTTTATTGAATTTTCAGAAAAGAAGCATAAAAATTCCAACAATTCCAGTTCCTATCTTTCCGGAACGGGGCTGTTGTAATCATTGCGACAATAAATGTGAAAAGTTCTAGCAGACAGGTCTCATTTTTACGTTCAGTATACAATCTCCATGTTTTTCATTAAGTCTGGATTTGAGTTCTCTTTTTGTTTTTGCTATAATAATGACATGCATAATAATTTCAGAACAACAACCATCGAATATCTCATTTCATTAGAATAGTATGAACCTCAGCTTTCGTGAGTTTTTGTCAAACGACTTCGTCCTTGAAACTTCGAAAAAAGGCGTTTTCACGTTGTGCCATTGCTAACATAGGAGTTCACTCACGTAGCGCTTCTGTTGAAAAGTATTGTGAACCTCTTCGGCTGGTTAGCCTTGGGTAGTACCCATAGTCGGTTCCTTGACCGTTAAGCTATAGGAACGCTGTGCTAATGAGTACAGAAGTTCGTCCTACTGCGCGCAGTCAAATCTGTCACTCTAAGGGTTGTCAAGGTGAATGAACCCACACTGTCTGCTGCTGCTACTATTATTATTTTTTTGTTGCTAGTGGGGTGGGACTAAGTCCCTTGTACTGCGGCCACTTCTGTCTGCTGCTACTAAGTCAGGATAAAACTGAGGCCATGAGTCCCAGAGCGACTGAAAGTCTTAGAGATTAATATACTCATATATAAATTACTGTCAGCTCACCAAATGCCTGTTATCACCAAAGAAAGTTGTATATTTATTTACCATTCACCCCATACACAGAGAACATATCCCTGTAAAATAACTCTTTTGAAAAGAACTGTACTACTTCAAGTGTTAACAGAATTGTCGACTGTAAAATTCATTCCAAATCGACCAATATCAAGTGTGAATATTACGTCATTTGCTTAATTAAGTGTAAAACTAGCGCAAAAGACCAAGATTTCTTTTATTACAGATTAAGACTTAACAATTTTTCATTTATAATTGTATACTGAGTGTATTCACACAAAATATCTCTCACGAGCAGCTTATCTGGCCTTCGAAACCGGAATAGGTCAACGACTGCAAAGAATTACGAAATATGTTTTGGATGCATAAATGATTTGTATCGACTACCTTGTATGAATCCGGGGTGACTGTGACTCCTGCATTTCCCCGAAGACTTGGTAAGGGTTGATCCTTTGGCAGTTCTAAGTGAAAGACATGAAGAATTGATGAAAAGAAAAGGAACAGCTCCATCCGCGCCAGTACATCTCCCAAACACATTCTTCTGCCTGTGAACGCAAGAACATAGCGGAACCAAGCATTATTGCAGATGTTTCTTAAGAGATGTCGTCCTGTCTAGAGATAATATTGGCACTTGTATATCATAGGATATGATCTTGGGGTTCCAGAATTTAAATTTCCTGAATTCCGACGTACATGAGAGATGCTTACATACAAACATCTTACAAATAACTTCAGATGCACAATGAAACCAGGATTAATATACGAAGTGGGTAACACATGCAAAAATAAAGAATTAAATACGTAACTTTATGCATCAAATATTCAATACTGCGACCAGGGTTACCAACGCTTTGGAGGAAAATACTGTCTCCATCTTCAGGGTAGGACGTGATATCACACCCCAGAAGACCGCAATGCTCATATCCACCACTGTAAGAATCTCAGATCTCACGTTTCAATCTACCTTCTTTCTTTTTATTATATGTTTATACTACATTATGGCTGCCATAAGGCAGTCGAAATTTCACCAACATAACCCAGCGCAATAGAAGAGAAATCGCAAAGGGCACAATGTCTTAAATTGAAGATTGTCTAGAACGGATATTGTAACTTGTTAAATTCGACTGAAACATTTGTTAATGCCAGATTGATGCATTAACCTTTCAGAGCCCAGGGGTTAACATATGTACCACCTTCTCTAACATGCTAAATTTTGCATTTTGTTTGTTTTTCAAATTGTTCTCGCAGTAAACGGTGATTATTTCCCCTAAAGAGCATTAATCGGTTGATGTTTATAGGGAAGACTTAATGGGTTCCTTATGAGGTACGAACTAAATTTTTTTATATTTTTTTAAAATAAATATTATCTTTAAAGGGGTAATCCTTGGAAATAATCTACCGTAGTTTTATAGGCATAATGTTCTATTGTTGTCATGCAGAAACATTTTTTTTTTAAATCCTTGTGACCTACTGACTTAAATAATCTAAGGGTTTTCCTCGTGCAACTTTACTTATGCAGAAAGTGAGATACTGTTAATTCCAAGTTTTACTCACCAACTCCAAAGGGTAGGAAGTATTCAGGCTTGGTGACTTTGCCTTCTGCGTTGAGGAACCTGGATGGTTTAAATTTCTCTGGCTCATCCCACAACTTAGGATCCATGTGAACTGCGTGGAGCAGAGGCACGATCTGTGTATTCTTTGGAATTGTGAAACCGTTGAGGTGCACATCTCTGCAGAAAAAAAATGTAACGAAGTTGTAGTTTTCGATTTGGATGGCCGCAGCTCGATTCTCGCGAAGGGCGTAATGTTTTTCTTTGCACCACTACCAGAACGGAACTTCAGCTCATCCAGTGGAAAAGGAGTGCTTCTCGTTACAGAGTAAAGGCCGTTGGGGCTTCTTACATCGCGAAGTTAAAGAAGTCCCTATGCTTAACTAATAAAACACTACGCCAGGAAGACGTATGGAGGAGTGGATATATAGATCTATGTTTTCTTGATCTCGTGACCAAATGGAGGTAAGTGGTCAGCTTCACGCCCCGGCCCCTTTACCGTTTGTAGGAGGCTGAGTGGGCCCCAGATCTTCCGAGTTGTAGTTATCATGAAAGTGCCTTACAATTCTATACAGTTCCATGTTGTCTGCTCTCGTAATTTTCAGATGCAATGATCACTGTATCCTTATAAGAGAATAGGGATAGACATATTTACAAGAGAGTAACTCTAGCGGACAGCTAAACACACACTTACGGACACCTATCTGGAACCTAGTAATTCTGCCATATATTAAGATATATCCAATTGTATACAAATACACTCTTTGTTACCATTGCGAAAGTTTTTCGCAGTTATTTCGTAATTTCAATATCGATTTTACTTTGTTCACGCCTTGTTATAATTTGATTTGCAAGCGTGTTGACCTCAATAAAAATGACAACTTTTAGTAATTATTGGTTGAAACACCTGTACAAATGTGACTTCGATAATTTTTTCATTGGTTCACTGACCTGGCAGTTCACGCGCGATCAACATTAGACGAAAGTGCTAGGCAGGCCACGGTCAAGTTAATCTGCATATTGTTTTTGCTTTCACTTTTTTTCTGCTGCCTGTATTATTAATTTCGCATACAATTATGAAATAACCGAATCCAGCAACTGTGTTTCTACCATAATCAACAAAAATACTTGGTTACAATTAAAACGTCAATGTATCAATAATATAAATGAAATTTATCGTGTTGATCGTAAGAAAAAAAGAAGACGGTAATTTCTAAGCATTACAGAATTCTGAAAATCCCTTCAGATTTTCAATGGAACTATGCTACAAGCCGGAAGGTCGCGGGTTAGATTCCCGATTTGGTAATTGGATTTTTCAATTGATCTAATCCTTCCAGGCGAACTACAGCCCTGGGGCCGACTCAGCCTCTAACAGAAATGAGTACCAGGAATCTTCCTGGGGAGTAAAGGGTGGCTGGCGCGTAAGGCCGACAATCTCAGCGCCATCTGTGAGCCGATTGTCTAGAAAATATGGGATCATCGGCGTCTGACAAACCTATGGGCCTCCATGGCCTGTTACAAGGATAGATTCACCTTTTTACCTTAACATTTTACTCGTATATATGTGTGTCCTGTTTAGTCCGAGCTTGGACCAAATTAGCGAAAGTTTCAGCTTGTTCACGGTTCACAGTTTCGATTTCTCTCGATTACCAAGACAAATATTTCTCTCTCTCTTGACATTAAGATTAGTGTTGACGTAATTTCCATTTGCACGTGATATTAGATTAATCAATAATATTATGGGAATATTGTGTTTCGCTAAACCACAACATGTCCCTTGCACCTGTGAAACACTGGACAGTTCCACCTAAAGCTCACAGTGATTAGCAGCTCACTTTCTCTATTTCATTTCAGTTTTTCTTAATATTTAGGCTATTATGAACCTTTGTTCAAAAAGAACGGAGGAAGATGAGCCATAACTACTGAACAAAATGAAAGAGAATCTTCCGTGAGCAAATACTTGTTGCTCGTCAGAAGATTTGCAGCATTTTGTAGAGCCAGGAGATTCATTATCGCTTTCACTGCAGTCATTCACTGGTCTCTATATTGAGCCCGATGAACCCAATTCACATCCATCCATTCAATTTCCTTAAGATGAAATTTAATATTATCTCACATATGCCTAGGTCTTCGAAGTTATCTCTTTCCGTCCGGAATTTCTATCTAAATTTTACACATGTTTCGCATTCATGCTGCATTCCCAGTCCATCACATTCTCATAGTAGGATTTATAAAATAAGTAGGGTGTATGAAATTAATGCATTTAACTTGATTCAATAGAGGATCCACTGGTTATGAGCAATGTTTCTGTTGAGTACTCCTATCTTCTGGGATATAAGGCTATATAGCATGTTGAGACCCGACAAACTTTTCGGAGAAACTTGTTGTTTCCTTCTTCAGAGTCAAAGAATAAACCAAGCAAGAAATAGCATGAAGCAGGTAGCAAGTGGAGAAGCTTGTTGGAGCTTGTTGAATTTCAACGGACTACACGGCGCTATATCGCAGAAGATAGGACAATTCATATCCATCGCTGTGAGAATCTCATGAGGTTTCCATTTACTTTAATATCGGGAATTTAATTAAAGTTATGTTTTAAATTTTAATATTGATACTTTCTCAGAGGTTCTAAAGAAAATACTTAAATCTATTGACCATATCAGTGCCCGATTAACAGCATGCCGGTCCAAGTCCTATTCGACCTTTAATCAAATTTTATCCTGTACTAAAATGGTCTGATCACATGAGAGAATGCTACGTTTTCTACACAAAATTAATGTTTTCTGCTAAGAGATTTCCCCAAAATAATAGCGAATATATTAGCCCTGTATTGATGTGTTCTGGTAGTAATTAAGAGGCATCCTGCTTTGAAGAACAGAGTCATTTTTCTTTTGACTGAGTTTTGAGGTTATCCTCACTCCAACATTTCCAACGAATCAATTCATATTCATATTCAGTGCATAATCCACACACTTCATTTGAAGCTAAATAATTTATATATCTGATTCAACTGCGTTCGAACTCTGAAGCACAGTGGCTAGTAAATGTACCATAGGATAAAATATTTAAAATCTGCTTAAATGTATCATTAGATTAGCTTGTATTTATGTGTTTTATATGAACTTCAGTATAAAGAATGATTATTTCCGCTAACGGTGTTAACGGTTTATCTCACCGTAATGGAGACAATAGTGTTGTTTTCTGTGACGTCGTGAATGAATTCTAAACTCTTATTATGTGAATCATCAACAAAACAAAATGTAATTTCCTAGTCTCTTTGTTCTTATGCTTTCAAATCATGTTATGGGATTTGCGTAGAAATACTCGTATTAATCAGACACCCAGAAAGCTCATCAGCCCCTTCATATCCAGAAGCCGAGGTCAGTGTAGAAACAACGAATTTCACTGCTTGAATTAAACGTTTACAAGTAACCACACAACACCACCATCAGAAAAATATTGCCAGAGATTAATGTTAGTCAATGGTTAATTCCTACATCAAGAATATATTAAGCCATTTGGTGGTGCTTTCTTGGTGCTTGATAGACGTGGCATGTGTAGCTTTATGCTTCGTTTGCCTTAAGCATTTCAGAGTATTTCTCAGTAGAATTTTGAGCATTCGAACATACAAAAAATTCTCAGTTCCAAAACCTAATCACAACAATTTTATATACCTATATTAAGCGCTATATGAACCCCACTAGGGTGTAAAACGAGAGTAAGCTTACCGAGTAGCGGCATGTGTAGTACCAAGGGGAATTATACTGGACCGCCTCAGTACTTCCAGCAATGTCGATTCTGTATAAGGTAAGTAGGGAATATCTTCAAGTTTAGGAAGTCTTCCACGACCCACCACTTGGTCGAGTTCTTCTTGCACGGCCTTCATAACCTCAGGGTTGTGAAGTAGGAACACCACAGCCCACAGTATCGTGGTCTTCACTGTTTCCATACCGGCAGAAAATAGGTCACCTATAATTTGTTGCATCTGCCGGTCTGAAAAAAGGAGATATGTCAATGCCAGCTTTACCTTGAGAGAAATAATGGACTTCATTTATTAGAGTTATGTACAGATCAGACAACGAAATGAACGACTCGGATATTGCTTCTGGCAGGGACAGGCATAATCTCATTATCGCCGGGTCCAAAAACTTTGAGCATAATATGTTTCTCAAAATATACCAGGGGTTCTTAATTGGAGATTAATATGGTCAAAGCGTGAAGCTGATGACTAATCTTTATTTAATGACGAAGTTCAGAAGTCTGAGAGCTTTATCTCACTTAACTTTTAAACACCTTTATGGCGTGCTTTACAACAAGTACATGCATTTTATCAGATAAAGAACAATAAGATTATGCTGTGAAATTTGCGTGATGCTTGGTCGTGTTGCCGAATTTACTTTTACGTTTCATCTAACCAAAGAAATCAATATTTTAGCATTAGGATCAAATTCTACAAGAACTGAAGAAGCATAACAGAAATCTTTAAAAGGTGTTTAAAAGTGCACAGTACTCTATCGAATTTATGGTTAAATTTAAATTGTGATTAAATAATTGACTTCGTGTAGAAAATATCCAAGTCCATTCAAGCTCTCAATGTTCTTGGATTGTATCTCTGAGAGACTTATGCAGGAACGAAACAGTTCTCTTCTAAGCATAAAAATGCAACTTAATATACGAGTTCCGTTATTAGTATAATTGATACAAAATGTATATAAGTATGAGTGATCCTCACCGTGGTCTCTTCCCTCGAACAATGACTCCCCACGACCTGCTTCTTTCTCTAGCTGAATTTCTGCCAGGTAGGTGTCAATTAGGTCACGGATGTTGCTTGGATCGAACGTTGCACGGTGATTGTCGATAGTCTCTTGAAAGAATTCTCCCATTTCTAATCGATTCTGTGGAATAGATTTATTGACTTCAGGGGAATTGCAAAAAGAATATATATATATATAATATGCTGGCCTACATGTCCGATATTATTATTATTACCAGTATTTATGTTAACTGTAGATGAGTTTTTAAACACAGCACACAAAACTACACAAACAATAAAAAGGACACACTACACACAACGAATACAATGTAAATACATTTACAACTACAATTATAAAATCAAGTTACTGAATACTAAATAAATCTTAGGTCTTGTGCCACTTATGGCGAGTTATTAAATTAAATCACAGTTTTAAAACCGAAAAAATATGAATCGAGGAATTGTTTAATAATAATTCCATGTGGTGGAATTCTTCTTCAAGAAGACATTAGTCGTTCAGCCCGACAAGAATTTTACTGCATTTTATGAAACCCGAAGATTCATGATCTTGTTCGCCTGGTCAGATGAATCCAGTCAACAGTTTCAACAATTTTCACCAGGATATATAAATATTTCCTCTATTAACGCTAGTATTCTGGAACTATATATACTCCTTGCAGTATTAGGTTAGTTCATATATTTTTTTACTTACCTTTGCTAACATTTTACGTGTAGTTTGAAGCCAAGGTATGTATCGCATAGCAGGAATGAAGTTGATAGTTTCCAAAGAACCGAACAGGCGGAAGCCTTCGTCAATAAGATCCATGAAGCGTTTGAAGCGCAAATCACCGTGCTCAAAGCGGACGCTCATCGTAAGGGCGCAGATAACATTGCTAGATGCCATGGCGAGAACAGGGCCCAAGTCTGTCGGAGTCCCATCCAGACGGGCCAGCGTCTGGAGCAGAGTGTCCACCTCCCCCTGTAGGATCATAAATATGTTCTATCTGTATATGTATCATGAAGTTCAATCTCGTAATCTTTGAGTTATTATATATTTAAGTGTGAGTATAATTACATAAGCTTTCTGAAATCGTAATACTACCGTCTGAGAAATGCTGAGATTATGTAGTGACAATTGAAAAAATGGTTATGGGTGACAAAAATGGAGAGCTGATCTACGACCTGGATTTGAACTTGGTACCTCCTGAATGCGAGTCAGATGTCTTAACAAACTGACGAACAACACATCGAGAGGTCTTTAAATAAAACTCATTACCGAAATGTTATTACTGGAATAATAGATAAAGGTAAAAAAATGTAAAATTGCCCCTGTGCTTAACTAATTAAGCACGACACCATGAAGGCATGTGGGAGAGTGTATGTATAGACCCACATTTTCTTGACTTAGGCACTAGTTAGAGAGGTGAGTGGTCAGCTTCACACCCCAACCGCTTTACCCCCGAGGAAAGAGCCGCCGGTGCCCATTGGACAGGAGGCTGGGTGGGTCCTAGAACCGGTGTGGAAGACGTGGAGAAGAGAAAATTCTTTACCCAACCGGGACTCGAACTCTGGCTCCTCAGTCGTCCAGCCAGTAGCCTGTCGCTATCGCGGCTCGCAGAATAATAGATAATAGTTTTCATGGAAGTTGGAACAAAATATAGTGCCCACTAGATTCCAGATTTCTGAATGTTTGAAATGGTGTTTTTATTATCTTACAGCAGCCTGTTCCGTCTCCCAAGCCAAAGATGCTTACTGCCGTGTATCGGTGCTCTCGCGTGTTTATTTCCCAAGCCCTGTGCTGATAAGTTAGCTCTACTCACCATGATTCTTGTTTCCATGTGTTCTTTTCCAGCTCCTATGTACTTCATTCCAAATTGTCGCAGCTTCTGATGCAAGAAGCGTCTCTGCTCTTTCCATAGACGACCTTCGCTATTGACGATACCTAACATAATAAGAGGGAGCAATTACTTTAAATGCTGAATATCAGACGCTGTGACTCTTTACATGTTGCTGGGAATATCAATGCGTGGTTATAGAGGTAACCAAAACCATATGATATTTTTAGCAACTGTGTCAGAATAAGGCATTTTAATAATTTGCAAATTTTATAATAAACACATATTACACTTCTAATTACGTATATTAATACTTGCAGTTATAATTTACGAGAAATATATTTCTAGATTGTGTAAATTGTTATTACGCTAATTTGGCTCCGGATATGAACATTTTTTTCCACAGAAAAACACGTTTGAAAGAGCGAATTTGGGAATTACTTAGATTATAAATTTAATAGAGCAACTCGAGGAGACTTCACTCGGAACGTGGGCCCAGTCGATAACATCTCGCGTCAGAACTAATCTAAACATGACACCTGTGACGTCACACTTTCATTGTATTACCGTGTCGCCTAAGTACATTAAAATTGGCCAATATTTAAAAGAATGCACATGCTTGTCTTCAAATTTGAGTGTTACGTCTTCGTGTCTGCACTGTGACTGGGGTACCAACTAGATCACTGCGGATGGAACGTAAGCAAAGTTATGCACGGCAGACTCGATATTTTACTCGTGTCTTGTGTGGTCAGAAAGTACTCAATTAATATTCGCTCTGAACATTTTATTTTAAGAATTATGGAAGAGATATTAATAGACATGTGGAAGAAATTATGCGTCCAAATATATCAAAACCAAATTTTAACTGAGCGTGAGGTAATTACAGAAAATTAAAATTAAATTTAAGAACGAATTCTTGTTTGTTTGTTTGTTTTTTTTTTTGTTCAATTACATTATAATTCATTCAATACTACTTATGAAACCAGGATATATATTTTTAAAATTAGCAATATTTCTCGTCTCTAATCTGTCCACTTACAACACAATATTGTAAATCAAAGAGAAAACTGCGATCAACAAATATATTGGAACAGGACTCACCGTAACCTTCCAGAATATTCATGAATTCTGTGTGGGGGCGCCCCGTGAATTCCTCTTTTCGAAATGCTTCCCGGATTGTCTTGTGGTCGCTAAGGACCACAACCAGTTGGTTTCCTAGCCTCGTGCTAAACATTGTACCGTATTTACGGGCGAGATCCTTGTAGTGGAGGTGAGAATCGCCTTTCATTAATGGCAGATAACCGATGATAGGAAATCCCCATGGTCCTGGAGGAACTTTGCGGTTCTCCCACAGAATCTGAACGGCTCGAAAGACGGAGAGCACTACGACGAACACGGCCAGGAGAATTCCGCGCCATTCGAGGTGGTGGTATACACTGCCGGCTACGGCACTGACAATCCACTGCAGCCCTGAAACGTTCATGTTGGTACTGAATGCTACTCGCTCCTCCTTACAAAAACACGCCTCAGACTTCACACCAAGACAGCGAGGAATTCGCAGTGAAAAAAAAATGAATGTGCAGACAACAGGAGAATGAATGGTGCACTAACGTACAACTTCACTGTCCTTGCTGTCTTTTATACTGGGTCATCAGCAGGACCTCCCAGATCAAAAGTGGGGTTTGGGTTACGGACGATGGGATCTGTCTTTTGTGGAAGGGGGGGTGTTGCTTGGAGGGGAACAGAGTCTCTGTTTCTACGTCCCTGTATAACTTATTTTTCGGGGGTATTTTCTTAAGGGAAAAAGTTTTGACGGAGGGGAGGGTGGTGGTTTTCTTTCTTGCTGGCAAACCAGCAGCCAGGAGAAGGGAGAAAGAAGGCGGGTCTAGCTGTCTTGAATGGCTCAAGTGTTAGGGGCCACGAGTTTGGGCGGATCGTGATGTTAATACGTTACGAACAGCCAACGAGAACACACTTGTGTGCCCCTGGCTGGAAGGCAACTGCCCACGCACGCTATCTCTTCAGTCACTCTCAGTCGCACGTCGGCTGCTGGCGGGGGAGAATCTACGTCTCTGCAGCTCCCACTTACGCTACTGTTACCCCTGCCGTTTCTCAGATAAGTCGCAGTACGTCACTGGAACCAGAGTTCAGACGTATTCGAGCAGTTGAAACTAGATGAGGTGTCCTGGAGGTTTCTCTGCTGTTGTAACAGTTATTTTTGTTACGGTACAAGCGAAGTTAAAATAAATATTTCTTTGGATGTAATTTTGTATCAGGATTCGTTAGGAACTTAGTTGCTGTTAGGTCTATTCTAATTGTGTCGTGTTCGTGTTCGGTATTGAAAGCATAACTGGAAGAGCAAATTTGCGACGTATTCGCAATGACACGTCGGTTCATGCTGAAGGAACTGAAGTACACAAGCGTGCGCTAACCATCTGACAGCAGCCCTGCAAATTGTTCAAACCAAATTATAGCTCCCTTTATTACTTTTTCTTGTTTGTTTGTTTGTTTGTTTTTGCTTCGATTATTCATATTGCCTGAAACACATATTTCGTAAGAATGAAATTTTGTGCAAGTTCTCCGTTCCAGTGATGGTGACTTCATATCAGTTAAAAGGTAAAGGTGTCCCTGTTCCTATCTAATTAAGCACTACGCCATGAAGATATATCTTGGTGGATAAATACATCCACGTTTTCTTGACCTCCTAACTAGCTGGAGGTGAGTGGTCAGATTCACTCCCCGGCCGCTTTACCCCCCGGGGAATTATACCCCAGAATACATTGGATAGGAGGTTAGCTGGACCACAGAGCCGGTCCAGATGACGTGGAAAATAGAAAATTCTTGATCCCATCAGGACTCGAACTCCGAATCCTCGGTCGTCCAGCCTGTAGCTAGTCGCTATACCGATTGAGCTGGCCCGGCTCCTGATTTAATTTCAATTAGTAAGATTAATTTAAGGATGTAAGTTTTCGCAGCTGTGGTTAGGGTAGGGACCAGTGGAGGGCTCTTGTGAACACGGTAATGAAACTTCGGGTTCTGTAAAATGCTGGGAAATTCTTGAGTAGCTGAAGATTTGGCTTCTCCTCAAGATGGGATCACCTCCATAAGTAAGTAAATAAGTGGTTAGGAAGACATCTGTCTCCTGGGATATAACGCCGTGGAGTCCGTTGAAAATCAACCGAAGTTTCGGAAGGAAATTTTGCCTGTATCCTCAGAGTCGAAGAATAAGCCAAACAAGAAACCAGCATAAAGAAGGTAGCAAATTTCAGAAGAAAGAACTCTTCAAGACTGAAGCTACCGTTCAATTCTTAGTTTTCGAATCCGAATAAATATATATATATATAGGACCATACCTGAGTCTAGAATCACAAAAATATTCAGTGAAATATTCCGGGGAAGTACGTTGCTCTTTATTACATCTGCTTCACTAATATAAATAAACTTCATTTTCTTTGCAGATTAATTCCAAATAAATACTAATGAAAATGATAGAGGCCACATGATAAACAAATTTAAATTTCTGATTTAATACTGTCGTGTCCACAATCATTATGATCAGCACAAATAATGAATTATAACTGGACAACATTATGATGAGAGACCCTTTGCTCTTTCTTACTTCAGCATTGCTACGTTTGCATTCAGCCCATAGATGCAGACACTGTACAGCGAACTGCTTACTACTGAATGAAATTCCTAACTTTACGGCTCAGTAATCAAAGTCTTTCTTGATCAGGTATAGAATTCGGATGTCGGTCTGTTACCCAGCAGTCATGACCGTCATGACTAAGGCTTTCAGTAGTTCTACTACGTCCCGTCTGATAAGGCTATGATAACTCACTAACTCCATAGAGCTGAGATATTCTTGAGAAGCCTTCAGTCACTCAGCCACTCAAGATTATCCCAACATTTTACGTAACCCATTGGTTAGTTACCGTGTTCACAAGAGCCCTCCACTGGTCCCTATCTTGAGTCAGTTAAACAAAATTATGTTATCTTAAAATATGTCACTCTTCCTTCTATATCCTTTCCAGTTCATTATTCACCATCGAACAGGTTCCAGTTTAGCCAGTAGGCAGTGACCCTGATATTTATGTAGTTTTCCTCAGTTGCTACAGAAGAATGCTGGGATTATTCATGAAAGTAGGCCACGTGTTTTTTTCCTAACGCAATATTCATGGTCATCATCCATTGACTCTACATCACTTTCAAAGTTGATGCAGCATCGTTATGTAATCTAATACATGAACAATGTTATTACAACGTGCACAGCCTCAGAAGAATCGCTAATCAGAATAGTTGACTAGCAATGCGCTTGATTTATATTCGGGATGCAGGTTACACTGGAATATTTTTCAGAACACTCTAGATGGCTGGCATAGTGTATTATCACGTAAGTCATGACGTCTGGCTTCATCTCTTCAGTTCTCAACTGAAACTGACGCCCATTCTCGTATCCATTTGACGTTACATAGTTACGTTACAACCTTCGAAGGAATTGTGTTTTGAAATTACGCAGTCCTATATGTAGGACCTATGACGCTACGTGCAACAACGAAAGAGCATGCCAATGTTACTAAATAAAGTTAGATACAGAAAACACAATGATGATTGAAAATTCTGGAATTTTCCGCTTCTAGGCCACTCCCCATCGGTCGATGTTAGAAAGCTATAAATTTAACAAACCACAAGGTCTGCTATAGGCCTTAGCGTTCTTGAAAACTCCGGTTAGGCAAGATCTGAAATTTCCACAGCGGTAACGATTCGGCTTATGGTCTTCTGGGCTGTGAAGCCGTGTAGTCCGGTAGATTGGTCTCATTATTTCGGAGGTACATACATCTCACCAATTCAAGGTACTTTCACTTTCTTGTTATGATCTATGTTCGTGAAAATTGTTTGCTTTTTTCATAAGTTCAAGAACACTCTCTTGTAACGTAGCCTATTTTTTATTTCTTTTTATTATTGCTAGTGGGGTGGGACTAAATCCCTTGTACTGCGGCCACTTCTGGCCTGTTGTACCAGCCCCAGATGATAGGTGAGGGTGATTGTGGAACAATTGGTGGAATGAAGATTGGCAGGGGAAACCGAAGTACTCGCAGAAAACCTGCCCCAGCGCCAATTTTCCCACCACAAATCCCACTTGACCAGACCCGGGATCGAACCCGGGCCGCCGCGGTGGGAAGCCAGCGACTAACTGCTTGAGCTATGGAGCGGTCCCACTAACGTAGCATAAGTAGCATAAAGGTAGGCCGTACCATAGCTCAGGCGGTTAGTCGCCGGGTTCTCACTGCAACGGCCCGAGTTCGAGCCCAGGTCAGATCATGTGAGATTTGTGGTGGACGAAGTGACACTGAGGCAGGTTTTCGAGTACTTCGGTTTCCCCTGCCAATTCTCATTCCAGCGACTGCTCCACACTCATCTATCATCCGGGGCTGGTACAATAGGCCTGTTAGCGGCCGACGTACCAAGTGGACTCAGTCTCACCCTACCCCAAGGAAAAAAAAAAAAAGAAAAAAAAAGAAGAAAGAAAAAAAACACGGGCCAAACATCCCGCATTATAAAAATATGTATTTGTAAATAAAACTGTGGTGTTATTTTTGGAATACCTTGTATTTCAGTTTGATGAAAAGTTAATTAGATAAACATATGCTTAGATTATAGGTGAATCATTTGGTTCACCATGTATTCTTTGGCGTTCTACATGCCCAGACGTGCATTAAAGACACAGAAATGTTCATGGGGCGGTCTCACCTGTCAACGTGCATATTTCACCATTCACACCCCTGAAGACTACCCAGTCATTTAAGGAATTTTGTGCGTAACATCTACAGCAATGTGGATCTTTACATCCACTCCCCCATACGCCTTCACGGCTTGCTTAATTAGTTAAGCACAGGGAGAAATTTGCCTTATCTTTATGTCTAGAGTAAAATTTGTTGCATAGTTTATTTTTATGCCATTTATGTCAATTTTAATTCTACCTTAAGTAAAATAAAATAAAATGTTTCCCCTTCCATGTTTGTTTCTTCCTTCCTTCCTTCACAGCACCGCTGTTCCGTGAGTTACGAGTCCCCTGCCTATTTACATTTGCGGCTAAGCGATGTATTTTTGCAGACTAACATACGCAATCTCTGATTATTCATGTTGCTTTGGAATGGCGACATGTAGGTGCTTTTATATGCATGTAAAATATGTTCATTTCTCACTTAAGTAAGATAAAATACAAACGCACCTCTCGTTTCCGACAACACCTCATGGAGATGAACATGAGGTGCTGAGATAAACATACACGTAAGTTGTGGGGCTTGAAATTCTCAACATCTTCATAACTTATACTCTCCTCCAATTATAAGTAGAAGGATAAAGTGAAGGAACATGGGATGGGCAAGGTATGTAACACGAATGAGAGAGAAGAGGAATCCGTATGTAGGATATTGATGGAAGAACCAGAAGGAACGGGACCACTAGGATTAGCAATACGTGGGTGGTTGGAAAATATTAAAAAGGATCTTAGAGGGATAGGATGGGATGATATGGACTGGATTAATCTGGCTGAGGATAAGGACCAATGGAGGGCTCTTGTGAATACGGTAATGAATCTTCGTGTTCCATAATTTGAAGGGAA